ACCTCTCTATTCAATGTATTTATGATTTGTATGAGAAAATTGTTAAACCTATATTATTGTATGGATGTGAGATTTGGCGTTTTACTAATTTTACAAGTTATTGAGAGAGCTCACATAAAATTTTATAAATTGTTACTTTGGATCAAACGTAGTACACCATCGTTTATGGTATATGGTGAACTATGGTATATAAACTGTTATGTCATAATCAATATGATAATGATAATAATAATAATTCCTATGTAAGTGATATCCAACAATTATTAAATGACTGTGGTATTAGCTATGTTTGGAATGTCCAATACTTTCAAGATCTAGATACCGCATGGTTAAAATCCTATGTAAAACAAACACTTCACGATCAGTTCACTCAGCAATGGGAAAATGATGTATTTACTTCTTCAAAATCTAGTTGTTACAGAATTTTTAAAGAAAATTTTGGTTTTGAAGGATATTTGGATATTTTAACAGATTAAGAAAGAAACACTTTTTGTAAATCCAGAACATCAAATCACAGGCTCATTATCGAAATCGGAAGTTGGAATAATACTGAACGTCACGAAAGAATTTGTACTTTTTGTAATAGTCAACAAATAGGGGATGAATTCCACTATTTGCTAGAATGCCAGTCACTTGCTGAGCATAGAAAATTATATGTAAACAAATATTATTATACAAGACCGAATGTATTAAAATTTAGAGATATTACTAACTCTAAACACGATAAAACTGAAAAAACTTTGTAGATTTATTAGAATCATCTTTATTAATATCTGTCCTCCATAATACAGTACAAATCATGAACTGAGCTGTTTCAGTTCTAATTTTGACGTTTTATGATTAATATGTATATATTTGAATGGTATCACTTGTACTGCGCAATGATATGTTATGGTATACATGTACAATATATATACGATATATTAATCATTAAGTAATAACATGTATACAAACTTATTATATCATTACTTATCCTGCATGTACATAGTATACAATATATGTATTCATACTTACTATCTGTCTGAACAACTTTATTTAACTTTGTTGCTTTGTAAATATGTTTTCTCTGTACTGTATGGTTAAACAGAAATAAATAAATTGAAATTGAAAAAAAAAAAAAACGAAATTGTAAATCTTTCGTTTGTTTTTATTTTACCCTAGGGTTATTGAATTTGGGTTTGGATTTTCGTGTTGTTTTTGTAATATGACAACCTATTAACCTTGACCAGTTGATATAATCTGTTCACACTATACGGACTATTTTACGACCTACAAACCTGGCAGGTAGTATAACTAATCGGCGGTATCTGATAAGGGTATGACGTCACATTACAAGACATCTGACATTCCTATCGAAATAAATCAAATAACAAACGTATTGTGCTCTGTCTTAATTCATAATCAAAGATATGATGTAACTGATAAATGAATATTAACAATACTTTAAAAGGCAAAATAGTATTTTTATCAGAAGATATTTGGATTGATGTCGAATCTATGCTAGACGTATGCAGACCTAACACATTAAATGACACAATCGGTATTGATGATCTACCATTACACATTTCTGCTACCAAAACAAAAGTGTCTTGGGCATACACGATAAGTTATTTTCTTCAAGTGAAGTAAAGTTGTGAAATGGAATCGATGGTAATCAAAACAGAGACATGAAGGGAGAAATTATGTGTAAGAGGATACTGTCTAGACTAATTGTGTGTAAGTGGAGACAGTGTAGACTAGGTTTGAGTGGAGACAGTGTAGACTAGGTTTAAGTGGAGACAGTGTAGACTAGGTGTAAGTGGTGACAGTGTAGACTAATTGTGTGTAAGTGGAGACAGTGTAGACTAATTGTGTGTAAGTGGAGACAGTGTAGACTAATTGTGTGTAAGTGGTGACAGTGTAGACTAATTGTGTGTAAGTGGAGACAGTGTAGACTAATTGTGTGTAAGTGGAGACAGTGTAGACTAATTGTGTGTAAGTGGAGACAGTGTAGACTAATTGTGTGTAAGTGGGGACAGTGTAGACTAATTGTGAGTAAGTGGAGACAGTGTAGACTAATTGTGACTAATTGTGTGTGTGTAAGTGGAGACAATGTAGACTAATTGTGTGTAAGTGGAGACAGTGTAGACTAATTGTGTGTAAGTGGAGACAATGTAGACTAATTGTGTGTAAGTGGAGACAATGTAGACTAATTGTGAGTAAGTGGAGACAGTGTAGACTAATTGTGTGTAAGTGGAGACAGTGTAGACTAATTGTGTGTAAGTGGAGACAGTGTAGACTAATTGTGTGTAAGTGGAGACAGTGTAGACTAGGTTTAAGTGGAGACAGTGTAGACTAGGTTTAAGTGGAGACAGTGTAGACTAATTGTGTGTAAGTGGAGACAATGTAGACTAATTGTGAGTAAGTGGAGACAGTGTAGACTAGGTGTAAGTGGAGACAGTGTAGACTAATTGTGTGTAAGTGGAGACAGTGTAGACTAATTGTGTGTAAGTGGAGACAGTGTAGACTAGGTGTAAGTGGAGACAGTGTAGACTGGGTTTAAGTGGAGACAGTGTAGACTAATTGTGTGTAAGTGGAGACAATGTAGACTAATTGTGTAAGTGGAGACAGTGTAGACTAACTGTGTGTAAGTGGAGACAGTGTAGATTTATTGTGTGTAAATGGGGACAGTGTAGACTAATTGTGTGTAAGTGGAGACAGTGAAGACTAGGTGTAAGTGGTGACAGTGTAGACTAGGTGTAAGTGGAGACAGTGTAGACTAATTGTGTGTAAGTGGAGACAGTGTAGACTAATTGTGAGTAAGTGGAGACAGTGTAGACTAATTGTGTGTAAGTGGAGACAGTGTAGACTAGGTGTAAGTGGAGACAGTGTAGACTAATTGTGTGTAAGTGGAGACAGTGTAGACTAATTGTGTGTAAGTGGAGACAGTGTAGACTAATTGTGAGTAAGTGGAGACAGTGTAGACTAGGTGTAAGTGGAGACAGTGTAGACTAACTGTGTGTAAATGCATATAGTGTAAAAATAAATTGTATACCTTAATGTAGTGTTTTTGTACAATGATTTAGTCTTTTGTATACACTAAGGTAGGATGTTTTTGTTTCTGATTTATTTTGTTTTTCTTGACGGAGTGATTTGTGTCCAGTGATTTAATGATTTGTGTTCACTGATAGAGTGGTGTGTGTATATACAGATGTAGTGGTGTGTGTATATACAGATGTAGTGGTGTGTGTGTATATACAGATGTAGTGGTGTGTGTATATACAGATGTAGTGGTGTGTGTATATACAGATGTAGTGGTGTGTGTATATACAGATGTAGTGGTGTGTATATACAGATGTAGTGGTGTGTATATACAGATGTAGTGGTGTGTATATACAGATGTAGTGGTGTGTATATATACAGATGTAGTAGTGTGTATATACAGATGTAGTGGTGTGTGTATATACAGATGTAGTGGTGTGTGTATATACAGATGTAGTGGTGTATATAGACATATGTAGTGGTGTGTATAAACAGATGTAGTGGTGTGTGTATATACAGATGTAGTGGTGTGTATATATACAGATGTAGTGGTGTGTGTATATACAGATGTAGTGGTGTGTATATACAGATGTAGTGGTGTGTGTATATACAGATGTAGTGGTGTGTGTATATACATATGTAGTGGTGTGTGTATATACAGATGTAGTGGTGTGTATATACAGATGTAGTGGTGTGTATATACAGATGTAGTGGTGTGTATATATACAGATGTAGTAGTGTGTATATACAGATGTAGTGGTGTGCGTATATACAGATGTAGTGGTGTGTGTATATACAGATGTAGTGGTGTGTATATACAGATGTAGTGGTGTGTATAAACAGATGTAGTGGTGTGTGTATATACAGATGTAGTGGTGTGTATATATACAGATGTAGTGGTGTGTGTATATACAGATGTAGTGGTGTGTATATACAGATGTAGTGGTGTGTATATACAGATGTAGTGGTGTGTGTATTTACAGATGTAGTGGTGTGTATATACAGATGTAGTGGTGTGTATATACAGATGTAGTGGTGTGTGTATATACAGGTGTAGTGGTGTGTATATACAGATGTAGTGGTGTGTATATACAGATGTAGTGGTGTGTGTATATACAGATGAAGTTGTGTGTGTATATACAGAGGTAGTGGTGTGTGTATATACAGATGTAGTGGTGTGTGTATACAGATGTAGTGGTGTGTTTATATACAGATATAGTGGTGTGTGTATACAGATGTAGTGGTGTGTGTATATACAGATGTAGTGTTGTGTGCATATACAGATATAGTGGTGAGTGTATATACAGATGTAATGGTGTGTATATACAGATGTAGTGTTCTGTGTATATACAGATGTAGTTGTGTGTGTATATACAGATGTAGTTGTGTGTGTATATACAGATGTAATGGTGTGTGTATATACAGATGAAGTGGTGTGTGTATATACAGATGTAGCGGTGTGTATATACAGATGTAATGGTGTGTGTATATACAGATGTAGTGTTGTGTATATACAGATGTAGTGGTGTGTATATACAGATGTAGTGTTGTGTGTATATACAGATGTAGTGTTGTGTGTATATACAGATGTAGTGGTGTGTGTATATACAGATGTAGTGTTGTGTGTATATACAGATGTAGTGGTGTGTGTATATACAGAGGTAGCTGTGTGTGTATATACAGATGTAGTGGTGTGTGTATATATAGATGTAGTGGTGTGTGTATATACAGATGTAGTTGTGTGTGTATATACAGATGTAGTGGTGTATATACAGATGTAGTGGTGTGTGTATATACAGATGTAGTGGTGTGCGTATATACAGATGTAGTGGTGTGTGTATATACATAGTGGTGTGTGTATATACATACAGATGTAGTGGTGTGTGTATACTTATGTATTGGGTGATAGGTGTCTTTCAATTCTCGATATGATGTGTTCAGATCAGTAATACCATCCTGGTTAAAAGGGATTTTCTTTCTCAATTTAATTTTCTACGAAGTATTGAAAATAGCAAAATTAAAAACAGAGATAAAACCACTATAATAATGGGCATCACCACATCATTAAAATCAATGAAACACATATTGAGATCATCCACTCCACGGGACCAGCTATTTTTGCAGTCTTTGAGCTGTTGGACATAAATCTCCCGCTGTCTCCCTGCGTCAGTCTTCGGTACAGTGCCCACACAGTGACAGAACTGAAAGCCGTCATACCCTTTATAGTGAACATCGAACCCTGGCACGTCCGTTATTTCGACATTTGTTTTATATGCACAGAATCCCATATATATATCATCCATAGGCACATACGGCGTGTCCTCAAACACACGTGTAAGTTTGATAATTGCACTTCTACCGAGCAGATATCCATTCCCACTACAATATGGCGGGATGTGAGAACCTGAAATCTCCTTCAGATATTTGTTCTTTTTATCATTCCTTGCTCGACCAGTACTTTCGAGATTGTGAGAACAATGTCCCGCTATACTATCTTGTAATTCATATTTCATGAGGATTCGGAAAATATAAGGTACATTTACAAACACTTCGAGTTTTGTTTTCAACACATATTCTACATTGGGACATCGTGATACAAACCATTGTAAACATAGCGCCACCTTCTCCGTCATGGCGTTTTGGATATCGGGAACATTTAGTTGAAGTATATCGCCTTCCTTAATTGCTTCTTCAAAAAGATCGGATGATTTAATTCGACCAACAACAAACACCACTCGGAAATTACCTGAATTTTGTTCCGGGGTATCGCCCCACGTTTCTCTGACAGCATCCCTGGACACTTTGTCATATGAAGGACTCATGACGAATATGATCAACCTTGGTTGAATGAAAGTTGTATTATCATAAGTTTGCTTACATGCTTTAGTTGGCTCTGTTATCGGCTTCCGCTCGAACCTGTTACATCCGGTGCATTCAACTACGTCCATCTTATTCCAAATGAAATCAAACCGGAAGTGACGTTGAAAAACCATCAGTCCTACTATAACAAACGTTAGTGCAAAGATGTTCCGCAGATATTTTGCAATCATTTTGCCTATAGTTATTAATGAACATCACACACGTAATCCAATATATGTTACTGCGTCTTGAAACTTGAAATCGATAGACGATAAATCACTTTGTACTTTGTCAGGCATTTGTAAAGAATCTAATTGAATTGTTGTGTTGTGTTTAAATTGATTAAAATCCTAAAAGGACATTTTGAAATATATAGCGTGAAAACTGACAAGTAACTAGTATCTATGATTAAGCACGAGATATATAGATGTCTTGGCGATATTTAAGTATTTGATTAACTATAGATCGTTCTATCTCTTAAACCTGGCTTAAGAAATCACCACAGTCCAAAGTCCACCTTTCAGAATTATCACACGTCAATATCACAGTCATAATTTATGGGTATTCGTAGTCATCATGGGTATTATATGAGAAGTTATTGTGTTAGAACTGGCGTCACGGTATGTACTACTACACACAGCCCCACCTTTACTGATGTCATCTGCGATAACCAATAACAAACCCGCAATTAGTCACAACACTATACAGATAAGCAAGCTGTCAATCACACCGGGTACTTACATTATTGTTGCTCGGCCGTGACATGGCTGTGCACGTCTGCTGTAAAAAAAAAAGACGTTCGGCAGATATTTCATTTATACATGAGTAGATAATCAAAAAAATTATGGTGTACTTCACTTTTTTGCTGCAACTCGTATAGTTACGGAACTTTAATTACTCCTTTGTATGTTCTAGTTTGGTATTTTTATTTCATTTTTTCTCTCCGATATCTCAGTGACCATTTAATTTTCATATCGCTAAAAGTTGAGTGCATATAAAGACCTTCCGTTTGTATATATCTACAATAGATGTTTATGAAGCTAACAAAGTGTCTAAGATTATCATGTAAATTTGACCGCGGTCGGCCGTTCTGTCGGATGTTAGATGTTCATTAGCAAAGATTAGAGAATTCCGCGAAAACAAAATATATGAACGACTGATTTTCCTATCAATCATTCCGGTCATTTCCTATTACTGAAAGGATATATAAACGTGTTAATGAGATTTTCATGTCATTTAACATGATGTTAACAGCAGTAGATTACACCTCACACGGAGATGATATTAGATGAGACATGTCATCGGCAGGCTGCTGTTTTTATTTCACATACGAAATACCTGCATTATATTCATAAGATAATCAACTTTAAAGTGTCTCGTAAGCCGAATACGCCTGGGCATCATCTATTTGTATTAAATTTCATGAAATGTTATTTATTATATTGTATTACGGATGTTTGACACTGCAATAAAATAGTACTGCATTGATTTGGATTGTATTCTGGAAGCCATGCCGCAGGCAAACGTGGAACTATATCCATAGTTTTAACGTTTGTTAAGTCGGCCATCCATCCCGAAGTCTGTTCGTGTCACATTAAGGGCAAAGAGAAATTCGTATTCCTTTCCGTCAAAGTGTTGATCAGTAATTGAGAATTTTCAGCATGTGAATTAGCTTACATAGTAATTAATTTGTTTGATATTGACGCTACAAATCTACAGAGCTGCACATTTACATAATTACAGACAAGCACCTAACGTACGGAGATTAAGCTAATATTGTAAAATCTTTACAAGCGGTACGGTAGGAAGTCACAGGAAGAATTACTAACCGTGTTCTACTTCAGCTGGAAGGGATAATTGTGAGGACTAGAACTAATCTCTTCTTGATAACCTATAGTACTAATGTACTTGATCCTGTCAGACTAAGTAGCTCAAGCAGGTGCGACCGATACATCAAAGGTTACCATCGGCGTCAACACAAACATGAGCTATGTATAATGCTTTGTTCATTTCTTTACCTATTACATTTTTACATATGTTAGCCATGTACTTCCTGACTTCCTAACAAAACGTCACAGAAATAGAGCAAATTCATGTTAAGTGATTAAGTCACGATAATTTTGATAATAAGTAATATAACGAGACTGCTTTTGTTAAGTGATATAATTATGATTGTTGCGCTGATAAGTGTTGTAATCACTATAATTTTGATGAAATGTGTAAACAGGATTGTTTTGTTTAATCAGAATTTTAATTGTTATTATCGCCGTTGTGATTGGTTATTTCGCTTTTGGAATATCACATATATGTGTACCACAAGATGTTTCTTCTTTCGTTTTTGCTGATGAAACCCTTGTATACATAATCAATCGGGAGCTGATATTATCGTGTCTTGGCGTCGGACTAATTAAAGGCACTGACGGACAGATATGGAGGGAGAGTAGATAAACACAATCAGTGGAAGTCTTCACTTTTTGGCTTTGCTATATATTGTAGTAAATAAGAAAATATACAAGAATTCAATAAAATGATAGGCTGTTTGTCTCGTTATTCTGCTTTTATCGATACTATTGTCATCAATTTTGGTATGAAGAAACAAATATTTATTTCCGATAATTGCTATTTGTTTACATGATGAAAGTTTTCATGAACATAAAAATATATCAAAATATTTCCTAACAATATTAGAAATAACCAAAAGATGGCGTCTAGAAAACGCCACAAGGATCGATTATTGTTCATCATATCGTAGCTCAATACTATTCCAAGCTGTGAAGCTGACAGTGTTTAATCTGAGTGTCAATATTACCAAGGAACCTAGGAAAACTAGTTACAGTGAAGAATAAAATACACATATACAATATATCATACATGTTTCATAACAACTTGATAAAACTGACAGAAATACTAGAAAAGTCTAGACTGGGGTTGTCTTTGTTCTTTTATCTTCAAGACCAGGTAAGTTGGTAAAATCTTTTGGATGGTTAGATGGCGCTGTGGAAACGCACTCGCTTTTCACCTGCGTCCGGGGATCGATTCCCGGTGTGGACGTGAAAAAGTATGGGATCACCTGTCCATCACGTGAGGTTTCCACGGATCCTCCGCCTTCCTTTCACCGCAAGAACCCTCGCGCGCTTCCATCTGGGCCAACAAGAGTGATTAATATAAGGTGGAAAAACTTGTCATGCAATTCATATAAAATACCTGAGATTACGTCGACCAACGCTCCGAACGAGCTACCAAAAGCGGCCCCATTGGAGGAGTTTACATACCACATTTATCACGTGGTCTGTAAGTGGCAATGCAGTAATGTTATTCGAAGAAAGATTCTGGATGCTGAGAGGAGGAATCATTTGTCCATGTTTAGCTTTTGTGAACGGTTTACGCATTACAATTTGTCTGTAGCCATCTAATGAAAATGTATACCATACGAAACCGCTATCATTATCAGCATGGACCCTGACCCTGAACAGGCAAATATGCATCTATATTGAAATAACTTTACATATGACAAGGGTGAACAATATAAATATAACTGAACTATTTTGTTACTCTACTGATAAATTGATATGAACCTGCTTAAGTCTTGGCCAGCAACCGGTTCCAGTAAACGGCGTGGAGCTGCTGACATCGAACTCATATCACAGAACAGATGTCTAGGGCTAGAATATACAACGGGCTATATCTACTGATTTTTATACTCTTTGGTCAACTAGGTAACAGTATATATCGCGATATATATGAATATTTCAGGATTTCTTTTTTTGGTAACCTTGGAAACGAGACCAGCCAGTTGTACATCCTAGACAAACAAGTTAATAATTTACAAGTCATGAAGCTTGCTGGTGACAGTATTTAGAAGTGGATCTGCATGGAGATATATTTAACATTAACTGTGTGTTGAAATGGCATAAATTAGGATTGAACACTGATCTTCCCATCGCTTGCAACTATTTTTGTAAATGACTTATTGTCACCTTGTGTTGATGCCTTTCATACAGATAATATCTTTATGGAAACAATTTGTATAAAGATGTACTTGGTGATTTAGGATAATACACTTCCTTGTTAAAGTAACATTATAGCATGCAGCTGTAAGTTTACTGATACTGTATAAGGTTATGTACACCACGTTCTCAATACTCTCATAAATTACTTTTTCTATCAAATCTAAACACAATTTTGTAATAATCAATGTTTAGGATTAATTATTCATTTGAAATTATGCATATTTGGGATTCGTTTGTTAAAATCAATATTTAGGATAAATTACTAGTCTTTCTTTTGTTCATACTTTGCCCTCCTGTCATATATTTTGAGTTAAGATTCTGTTGACACGATGCTATTTCTAGCTGTTTCCGATATAAGGGAATATTACAGTTTCCTCAAAGAAATTTATTGAAATAAAAATGACGAATATTGTATAGAAGGAGAGAAAAAACCACCACTAAAAACCGGAGATGAAATAAAATGGTGCGGAAAAATGATGTTTTCCAACATCGCGTGCCGCATATCTTGACATCATATATTCGTTCTATAAAACCAACAATTTACAACACGATAACCTGACTTCATTGATTAAACGAAAAATCTCTCCCTTTCCAGGAAAAAGATGGTTTCTCAGACAATCATGAGTCTGCCGCTCAAACCGGAAGTGTTCTTCGTTCTCTAGGTAGAAATGAAAGATTGGTATATTTTCCTCTACGAAAACAAAAGGCAATAGTTACGAGATGGTTTTTTGAATTGAATGTAATACGTGAAACAATATGGTAGTGAAATGACCTTTATTGCCATATTGTTTATGAATCATTCAATGACAATAACAGTTCACTATCACATGTCTTTATATTCGCCAGCAGCATGACAAAAACGATCAATTCACTTCAACAGTATCGATATTGACATTCGCTTTTAGTGATTAAGCATTCGGTTCAACATTCCGCCATTTTTTGATAGACATCATGTACTGAAATGTCACGGAGTCGATGGATGTCAAGACATCTAACAGTGAATTTACCATTTCAATCACCATGTTGACGAATATGCAGGCACCTCATGGTAAACTAGGATGTCATGATGTTGTCGAGAAATAATTATACTTTATTCTTAACCTTGAAGGAAAACAAAGATATTGGAAGTGAATTAACAGTTACTGTCGTAAAGTTGGGTGATGAAATGAAATCTGGTAATGAAATGGATGTTATTATCAGGCTACAATCAACAGCAATCTACAGTGAATGCATGAGTGTTTGACAGGAACTTAAACAAAATCATTAAAATGAAAGAACGTGATGAAGAATTTAACATTTGCAATTGAATCACACCATGAACACAAGATGGAGTTACGTCAAAATTGTATTCTCATGCCTTACATTGATGTCTAATACTCTCATATACTATTTCCGCAGGATCTGACGTCACTGCGGATAGAACACAAATGGAAATATGTAATGTGTTGTAAGTATAAATCCACGTGTGTAAGCTGTATATAAGTACTGCGAAAGATCGATCGTACCTGCATATACAGGTAAGTCAACGGACACAACCTGTACAGGAAATGTATCCTACCACTACTAGCTGTCTCCTGCTCCTCCTCAGCATAGGGTTGATGTCCACCACCAAAGTCCCTGTGTATGTCGGGGCTCTGTTTAAGGGTGGAAGTCACTGGTTCGCGCCATACGCCTTAGCGCTGGAAAAACTTTTTGATTTGGCCTTTGAAGAAATCAGTAACCGTACGGATATTCTGCCAGATTACGAATTGAAGCTCATCACAAAATTCACCGAGGTATTTATGAACAAAATATTTTTATTGTTTTATCTAAGTTTAATTGTTGTGTTTTTTTTGTCGTGGTAGCTGTCCTTTCCGCTGTTCTCTGTGCATTTATCTTTATATGTACAACTGTTTGCGGTTGCAAGAAAAGTTTATCATTGTGTATTCTGACAACCAAGACATATCAGTCACGCAAAATTAAAGGCTGTATCCCATTTAGCCCATATTTTGAAATAACACGTTCAGAGGAATACGGTTAGAAGGATTAAAGTCTATTTAAGAGGAGTTTACCGGTGTTTTTTACCTGCGTTTTTTAACCGTGTTTTAACTACCTTTACCAATAATAACAATACATATATGTAATAATGATACTCGTAAATTGATATTTTACTTTCGTGTCACATGTTTAACATATATATAACGATATCATGCAGTGAAACGTCCGGCCATATACAGCCTAATGTAAACACGGGGCCCAATTTATGTAATAGTTATGTTATCTGTAAAAAATCAGTGACCTGGTTAAAATATTCATGATTAAAATTGCATGTCACATACTTTCCTGTGTTGAAGCTTCTTAAATATTACTGAAGATAAAAAAACAGCAGTCAGCATTGTTCATGATAAAAGTCAACTTATCCCTACTACTGAAGCTGGTAAAATTAACAGAAATGTTTTACATATTTATAAAAAAAATCGTGTCTAAAATCAAAAGATAAATTTCAAGTAGATATCATTCATTTCATTAATTAGATATGTACAGTATTGATTGCATCACCGTTAATGTAACATTTTATACAGCTACAGATGTAAGCTCATGTCGATTACCAGCCAATATGACAATATCATACTACGATAGTGTATGTTCCTGTAAAGACCTGAAAACAAAACATTCATGTGCAACCGGAGAGGACAAAACGAACGCAAGACATTTCACCGCGACAACACATTCTGTACACGCAAGTTATCAAGTGGTCGTATTGGGTTGTTGTGACAATGAAAAACAGCGATATTATGTAGAATAAATCTCAAAACCACGACAAGGCGACGACACCAGTTTAGACACCATACCCAATGACAGTGGACGTAATAAACAACATTCTTTAAAAGGATATATACTATTTGATCCGACCTATCAACTCTTGTTAATTGTATACGAACTATGCTTTAGACAATTAGTGTATATAACGACGCTGTTTGAATCTAACACATTAAAGAGCATAGCGCAATCATTTTTTTTTCAAAACTGTCTTAGAATAGCCAAACTTACAATATTTAGCAATGCAACAACGCAAATAATACGAATTTAGTCATATCTTAGAAGAAAAAGTATCTTACAGATATGATATCGTAATTTGCAACACAGTGTGACACACATACATGTACATAAGAATATTTACAACCCCCCCCCCCCCAAAAAAAAAAAAAAAAAAAAAAAAAATGAAAATTCCCCTTAAACCATTAGTTTTTCCAAAACCAGAGGTCTGTAATTTCATTCCCGCAGCGCAACGCTTTATGATATTTTATGATACTTACTATGGGATGGATAGAAAAAATGACAGGAACATATTTTTAAACAGGTTTGATATGAAAGACAAAATTAGTAATAATAATAAAAAAAAGAAAACAAAAGTTCTTTTCCAGCGACATTTTCTCAGAACAACGGCTGTTTTAGTGTCTTTAATGCAGAACTAAAATATGTACTTCCGTCATCAACCGGAAGCTTTTTCAATTCACAATATTGACACACATCCTTCTGTTCTTTTCATCTATGTTACCGGTATATGGCTGCGCTCAAGATAAAGAATAATCCAAAATACCGGCCTGGTTTCCTACTGAGACTGAATAATAAAACCCTCATACTCAGAGGACTGTTGTTATCACTATTGTAATAATAACAATACAACAATGTTTTATCAACAACAGCCAGGAAGAATCAACAATCACCAATGTTCTCGGGAAACAAAATCAAAGTATTTCACGCTATCTAACTAAGATATAAGATAATTAAAGTAATTAATTATAGGATATCATTGATATCTATGGCACTATAAAATACACTGTACAGACTATTTACATCTGATCATTTATGTGGAAAGGAAAATATATGTGGTACGAATTCAAATACAAATGGAATACATTGAACATATAACAAACGCAGGGAGAAAACTATTAGATTGTACAAAATTGTTCAAAAATGTGCAAAATCTCAAATATGTAACACAAAAATAATTCAGAATTGGAAAAAAATTTCAACTTTTATTCACTATTTCCTTTCTAAATATAGCTACTAAAACAAATTCACTCTGATGGGATAAAAATTGCATAAAAAAATATGAAAGAGTTTTTTTGTAAAACGAAATAACTTCACATTTTTGGGTTTTCCCCAATTAGTCTGCCCCAATAAAAACCTCTAGCTATGCCGAAGAAAAACCTTAATCTGCGACCACACTGCAATTTGACACAATTCACAAAGGAGGTTACTCAATAATTAACGAATTACAGTGGTACTCTTAACAAACATTTTGGCAGTGGTACAGTGATCATATTCAATGTTAACTATTTAAGGAAACATACAACATTGCCCTTCCGGATTTGATACTGTAAACACAGACGCCTGATACAATCCAATCAATGTTTAAAATTATGATGAAACTAATTTAGACCTACGATATTGACCATTTACCTTGTGACCTTAACCCTATATTGATGAAGTCTTGGTTCCATATGTTATATCTATATCATACTTACCGTTCAGAATATTGAAAACTTGACTAATACGAACTTGACCATTAACCTTGTGACCTTGACAATCTAATAATCAAATATGTATCAGTCCCTGCAAAAGTGCATCGTAATATTATCACGCAATGTTTACCGTTTAGGGGATACAAAATGGGATCTCTCTGACCTTTAACCTTTACCATTTGACACTGAACGTCTCCAAATCGACTGTTAGTATAAAATCAGACAACATTGCTTCATACCGTTATTATGCCGTAGATTTCCGTATGACGTATTGACATGACCTTCACCTTCGATCATGTAACCTTGAACATGAGAGAATTCTTTAAAACAGTAATCCTTAAACTAAAGTAAGGACTGGTATATTTAAGTTGCTTTGTGGTCGTGTTGTGGGTTGTGTATATGCTGATGTATGAATCAATATGACTATACAGTAAGTACGGTAAGTGATGAAACGATTGTGTGGTAGACGGTCAGAACAAGTATATACCACGGTACTGTGCCACATAATTAAGATGTAACTACATGTAGATGCATTAAATTTAACATAAATGTCCTCCAAACGATTTGTTTAAAACTGATTTTGTTTTAATTCAGTTTCTTTTTCATTTATTTTTATATTATCAATTCCCCAAAAGAAATTGAACTTATCAAAACTATATTGTATATAATAAAGTTGACATTGAGGTAAAGGTCACATGGACCTCATTCTAATGCACTGTTGGTTTTGCACCTTTGTCTTAATTTTTGTTTAAATATCTTCACTGGTTCAAACGTTATGGTGTGGACAAGGTATACAAGAAGACCCAAAAGAAGATCCACAACGAAACAAAAGAACTACTACTGTTGTTATAAACTATGTCTCCTTTCATTGGAATTTGATACCAAGAACAGTATCAATGTATATTCAAAATCAGTACAATTATCCTAGAAAATTGTTAGATTAAATACATGTGCTTTCATGTACAAACAGCTGGCTAATTATGCTAGTTAGAAGCCAACAAGGCAGAACGAAGTAAACAAGCATTGTGTGTAAACTTACCGAGCTCTATTAATTCTTTCATATAGCCGGGTGATAACAAGTTGATTAATTTGTAGATAGGAGGCTTAGCATAATAAAATGATGTGATATTTCTCAATTCACTGAGAGAGGTGATTTTTAGAACTTTTTTATGATTTTTACAGGGAAAGGTTTAAGCAAGGCTGAAGGCAGGAATGGTATATATTTTGATAGACCAAGGTCATAGACGAGGTGGAGAAAAAAAGTCTCACAATACTAAATTTAATAAAAATGTATTGAAACTAACCTGTGCTTGCTAGTACTCAATTATTACAACGAGGGTTTGATTAACACTCATTATACATATATATATAACATGTATTTAAACTGCAGTAGCTAGCAGTGAACAGTTTGCACAAGTACTTCGAAATTCTAATTTTGAAGTCCTAAAATGTTTTTATAAAAGTCTAGATGCAGGTGTCCGATATCGGGTGCTTTGTGGAAACCATACACCTCGCAAGCATTCATCTTTCTGCTGCTAACTTATGGGTCAAAACTTGAGTGGCAACAGTGGTAAAAAATTAACATCAGAGACTTGAACGATCTTTTAAGAGAAAAAAAGTTTTCCTACCTTATGACGCTAATTAAGGTTTTTTCCATATGACACCAATTGACAATTCGTCTAACGTGTGTCGTAGGCCGTTAACACTTTCCGAGAAAAGCACCATGTCGTCGGCGAACATTAGTGAAAATAGCGACAACTCTTGTTCTAAAGGAGAAACAACGCTGTTGGGGAATTCCACCTCACAATCGTTTACAAACGTGCAAAAGAATGATCCCAATTTTGTGACCGAATAATTCTGATAATTCTGTATCTACAGGTCCACTTGATTTGATTTTTTGAAGTTTAGAGGCCTTGAAACATAAATGATATCTCTATACCATATCAAAATCCTTACTTTAAAACAATAGTAAAGTTTTCCTAGCTAGCTAGTGACTTATTGATGATACAATACCAGGACGTAAGCCAAACTGGGCATCTGTTATAACGTTATAACTGTCAGCCAATTGAACTTACCTGGTCTTCAAAACACAAGTAAATACATTTAGCATGTTACCAAGGAAACTGATTCCGAGGTAGTTGTCCGGATTTGACGTGTTGTCTTTGAAAAAAAGAATTAGATATGAAGAATTAAGACATTGGATAAATGTTTTGAAAATAACAGACCTCAAGGATAGCATTGAACATCTTGTTTAAAATACAGGTATA